ATTTCCATCACAAATGAATTAAATATATCTATTATTGATTTATTTTAAGTAGCCTTTTATAAAAATGTAGCAAAGCTACATCACATTCTTTGCATTCATACCTAGTTTCTCGACGAATTTTGTGTTTACTGCATACTGCACATTTTCCAGCAGAATCTTTTTTTTTTAAAAGACGGATTAAAATATGTGCTAAGAAAATGCTTTTCAATAAGACGTAATGGGCGTATATTTAGGTCTCTTGTATATATCGATGAACATCTAGGGACGTATATTTACGTCTTTCGTGTATATCGATAGATTTCGCAGGACGTATATATACATCTTTCGTGTATATCGATAGACTTCTCAGGACGTATATATACGTCTTTCGTGTATATCGATAGACTTCTCAGGACGTATATTTACGTCTTTCGTAGTGAAAGGGTTAATCAAGTAGTCGGAGACGATAAAGGCGGTCCGGAGCGTGGTGCAACCTCCAGTTGTCTGCCGATATGGTTCGTGACGATGTCTAACACTTGAGTTTTTGGAATATTTAGCATATCGGCCATTAAACGAGCATTTTAACCCTTTGCGGACGAAGCCGCTCGGCGAGCGAGCGTCACTGTGGACGAGAGGTATTGGAGTGCGCAGTAAGGAAAATAAATACGTTGAACGTTTCAAAAAATTGTTCATAAAATCCAAAAAAAGTTATAAACAAACAAATTGAAAAAAAAACAACAAAAGAAGTTTGGTTGTGTTTATGTATACGTTTTATATTCTGACATTGTGTGGTATCGTTCAAAACAGTCACCTACACTACCGTTCATAAGTATCCAGACACTTGGTTTCAGGATAATAATAATTATTATTATCTGTTTTGAGATGTCATAACGTAATAGAATTAATGTTTAAGTACAAATTATACAATGAAAGTGTGAAAGTAAAATTCATGTCCAGAAGTACAAAGTCCAAACTTGTGAATTTAATGAAACGCTTTCGATTCTAAAAAAAATTTTAATTTCTACCGTGTTTCGTTTCTATGGTGCAGAACGTATTCAGAGAGTTCTTCGATATGTTTCAAGTGTTTGTAAACTGTTGAGGAAATGTTTAGGTTCCCTCAATGGAGATAAGAATGCAGGTAACCCTATGCACTCGACAGTTTCGGTTTAGTTCGTCTATAGCTTCGTTTCCATCGAGACATGAGTTCCAAACGAGAATTATCAATCGAAAAACGTTCCAGTATTCTGACCTTCGCAGAAACGTATTCAGAGGGTTCTTCGATATGTTTCAAGTGGTTGTAAACTGTTGGTAGATGTTAGGTTCCCTCAATGGAGATAAGAATGAAGGTAACGCTACGCACTCGACAGTTTCGATTTAGTTTGTCTGTAGCTTCTTTTCCATCGAGATATGAGTTCCAAACGAGAATTATCAATCGAAAAACGTTCCAATATTCTGACCTTCGCAAAAAAAAAATCGATTTTAGTTACTGTTGCAGACACTTGAATAACTTTCATGCAACGCGAATGCATATTTCGCTTGTGTCCGGATACTTATGGACGGTAGTGTATGTGCAAGGCCGAACAAGTTGCACAATAATACCTCGACTCTCTTCTTCCATGCTTTACATTTCGATTAGAACACACTAGGCAGTCTTTACTCCTTCCTGTATTATCTCGCCGAATAATATGTAAAAGACCGTTCAGCCTTTCTGCTGTTTCAGAAGTCGAAGGATTCTTAGGTTCAGAATCCCGAAAATGTTGTGCGGCTATATGCCGACACGCGTCCGGAATGGTAAAAAGGCTTGGGCGGCTATATGCCGACACTCGTCCGCAAAGGGTTAATCATCGGTCTGAGTTCAACAATTTCCTCACTCGTGTCATATTGTTGGACGTGGTGGTCGTGGATGGCCGTCCGGCACGGTCCTCGTCGTCGACCTCTTCCCGGCCTTTCAAAAAGGCCTTGTGCCACCGAAACGCTTGCTGATCTGACAGGGCATCTTCTTTATAAGCTGACTTAATCATAGCAACCGTTTCCGTCGCAATCTTTCCAAGTTTCACGCAAAACTTGATCGCAACTCTTTGTTTTAACGAGCGCTGCATTTTGACTTGTACAGTGAGACAAAACAATTCTCACGGATAGGCTCATCTTCACTCTGCGGATGCTCGGAGTACCTTTAGCAACGGAGATCTGTTTAGCTGACGTCCCATACTACCAATTTTAACCGAAAAAATCGCGGTCCGACGTGAAGTCGCGTCACAATAAAGTCACTGACATTACTTTCAGGACATACCTTGTAAATGTCTCGCGACCGTACGACTCTAAAAGCGAACAACGACTCCTTCGACTCTTCGGGCGGCGACGTCGTTGACCGAAATTCATTTGTTTTTAACGGTCGATTCTGGAATACTCCAGTCGATGGAATATTCGACGACGCATATAATACTATATTAATTTCAATATGCATCAAATTACATCGGAGTACAAAACTAATTAACTACGGAGTGTTTTGGCTTTATAAAACCATTATGAATTTTAAACAATTCTTATGCTTATTAGGGTTTCCCTCTTATGAAGAGCTATCTAGTTTTCCGAAATTTCGCATTTTATTATAGAATTTGTAAATCTTCTAAATTTGGATAAGTGTAGAATTTATAATGCAATACTGACCGTTATACACTCTGTGGTGGCGTGCTGGTAGCTCTACCAACCTAATGGTGGGTACTATTTCTAGTGCTATTACACAAGCTCACACTTTCCCTTTGTTTTTACAAATTCATAATTCCCATAAAATTATCACATTCTTTATCAAATTCGCTCAGCTTACAGTTTTGGTCAAACAATCAGCATTCATTACAGCAGTGATGAGATATTGGCCGCGGGTTTTTTCGCGCATGCGCGAGAAATGCAGGAGCGTACGCAGCGTATCTATTTAGTCGCGTCACTAAATGGCATAGTGTCGTTGGCGGGAAAGCAACGCAGAAGTAGTTGTTATGAGGTACGTTATATTTAATTATTGTAGGAATAATGACTCAAGAGTGGTGGAGTTTATTTATTTATTAATTTACAAAATCTTTATCACTATTTTAAATTTTCAAACACTAACAACGGCTTTCTTTAATCTTTTACAGCCTTATTTCTAAACGCCCGAATACACCGTGGTTTCACCCATAAAACCACTATCTTTTATTCCGCTTCTCTATTCAGGGATGAACGGATGAACGCCTACTCGCTGTTGCAACGTCGGTAACTTTTATACAAATAGTTAATAACATTCATTACCAACGTTCGGTCACTGAAACGTCTGTCTTTACTATTTTCGCTGCCCACATTATAATGGCATCAAATAATATTGGTGAAGGTACTATTAAAAGCGTACGATGCGTACATTCAATCATGCTTGGTTAGACAATGATAGCTTTAAAGTATGGTCAAGACCTACTGTAGAAAAAGATAGTGCGCTTTGCATTGCATGTAATAAAACTATTAGATGCTGCAACACAGAATTAGAAAATCATGCAAAAACAAATTCACATTTGAGAAATATAAATTCACTTGACATAAATAATAATAACAATAACAACAACAACAACAACAACGACGACGACGACGACGACGACGACAAGAACGACAAGAACGACAAGAACGACAAGAACGACAAGAACGACAGCGACGACAAGAACGACAACGACGACAAGAACGACAAGAACGATGACAAGAACGACAACGATGACAAGAACGACAACGACGACAAGAACGACGACAAGAACGACAAGAACGACGGCAAGAACGACAAGAACGACGACAAGAACGACAAGAACGACAAGAACGACGACAAGAACGACGACAAGAACGACAATAATGATAATAACGATAATAACGATAATAACGATAATAACGATAATAACGATAATAACGATAATATTAATAATAATAATAATAATGTTACCGCGAGTAATTTACTGCGTCTTTAGACAAAGTGAAACGAACTGAAATTAAATTATCGGCATTTTTCGCTGAACATAATGTAGCATTTTGTACAGTTGACCTTTTGATTACATTATTAAAAGATATTTGTGTTTAACTCGAAGCTGTACGGGATTTTTCACTTGCTCGACATAAGTGTGTAAAAAACGTGAAAAATATTATCGCCAAATGGAAAATTGAAAACGTTGTTGATTGTTTAAAAACTTGTAAATTTCCTATTTTAGTTGATGAAAGTACTAATATTTCAGATACAAAATTAATGTGCGTACTTGTAAAATATGTATCACCACTAGATGATAGCGTTATAACACAACTGTCAGAATTCTTTTTTTAATTGAATGCTTAAGGTCACATACATACACCTTAGGTTATTAGTGACCACATTTGATTTGGGACTGTACCGTAAACCTATTGGTATTACATTTGACAATAGAGACCGATATCTATAAAAAATGTTAGAATTTTCCTGCACAAATTTACATTTTGTAGTATACTTGTTACGTTTGATATGTTATATCGCGCCTTTTTAACGCGGTATTTAGGGTACTGAATTAGGATGTGGTCAATGGAAATTTGTGCAATGCACACATCACAGATCGTTGGGTTTGATTTAGAAATAAGAAATGAATATGTTAATTTGGTGTGGCCAATTCTTAGTCTAGTTACTGTTCCGTACGACGGTACATCTGGGTGAGGATTTCGAAAGTTTATTTATGATCGGTCCGTTAGGCAGCCGTTTTTGAGTTAGAATATTTCGGGTTTTTTCTAGTTGTTAATTTTACTACATGTCTTGCCATAAATTTAGAGTTAATTTTCGCTTCATCCTCAACGGTCACTTTCCGATCATAAACACAGTTTTTTCCGAAAGGTACTTTAGAAACGGTCACGCAAGGACCTAACGGGAACTTATGGTCGCCAAATGTACCTAGAAGAAAAAATCGCGGCATTGCCGGACGTTCGGGGTCCTCCCGCCAACTCACCGGATTCCCCACCCTTCCTAGACGAAGACGCTCTAAGGGAGCTATGAAGGGTGGGCCCAATCCCAAAGGACACGCTGATTGGAATTTCCTAAAAAAGGCGAAAAGCCAATCAACGTACGACCTCTGACTCCATCGTCGACATCGGAGTCAAGAAGACAGCGAGTCGTCAGATTCACTCACGCATTATTGAAAGAAACATCTCACCTATTCGCTTTGAAGTCGTTGCGAACATTACAAACCTCCAACAGTCGGGAGAACTTGAACCATTGCTTGTAATATTTAGTGTTAGAAGCAAATCGCGTTGCGGTATCTTTTAACTTCAAATTTTATCGTGACGTAGTAGCGATATATTCGGCACGCTACAGTTACTATTATTTGATTTTTGCGATTCATAAAGACTGTCGGGTTAATATCGTATATTATCACGAAATTCATGTAAAGCTGTAGGTGGTGAAGTTTTCCAAACTGTATTTCAAAGTTCTTTTACGACTTTGATGAGGTGTTTAGAATTAGAATTATTACCATTAAGTGCTATCGATTGTTCCGCGAATAAAATTTTCAAAATTTTTAAAAGTTCTTTAGATGAAAAAAAAAAATTCCTATCAAAAATACTATTGGAATGGCGTGCGATAATGCACCTGTTATGATCGGTCGTGATAATTCATTTAATGTCTCATTTGGAAATAGAAGTTTCGGTATTAACTATTGTACATCAAATTGTTTTTGCCACTCTTCCACTCTTGTAGCTAGTCACTCTTGTGACCAAATGCCTTCAGCTTGCGAAAATTTAATTAGAGGAATTGTGACTTATATTTTGGGCAGTGCAAAGAGATGAGCAATTATGGTTGAATTCCAAGATTTTTTTGAAGTTCAGCGAATAAAAATTTCGAAATTGTCAAATACTAGATGGCTTTATTTACATAAATGTGTTATTAGGTTACCAGATAATTGGGACGTTTTGAAAAATTACTTCGTGTTAGCAACAATAGAGGAAAAATCAAGATTTGCAGAAACTATTTTACATTATTTTACATTTTACATTATTTCCCACAATTAAAGTATGTATACTTTTTCTTAAATATTCTCTATATTTTTTTAATAATTCAATGCTCTGAAAAACATAGAATCTTTGGATATAGATAATATAGATAGTATTCAAAATGTAGAAAATGTTTATAAAGGTCCGGAATGCGAAAATTTGTTAGAATCAGTAGAAGTAGAATCTGCCCGACAAGTTCGAATAAATTGTTTGAATTTTTATGTTACTACAGGTGCTTATACGTCTACCTTTACAAGATTCTTTTTCTCAACCATTAAATTTTCTAGATCCGAAAATATCTTCACATGATGAAGGTAGACAAAAAATTAAAGACTTAACTTTATATTATGAACCTTTGATTTTATTCTGTTCCTGATATGTGCGACACTATGTACCGTCTCTCCCTAAAAATCCAATGGTACTTCTGAATCAGAAATCATAGCTTTGGCCATTTCTATTGTGGACCTATTTGCCTTTTCTACCACACCATTGTGTTCTCTGTGGTGTTCTTGGTGAACTTTATTGATGCTTTATTCCTTTTATCTTCAACCATTGCATTATCAGACCTAATGGCTTTTAATTTCAATTCTGTTTGATTCTCCTTTAATATTATTATTTGTTTTAATTTTTCAGCTGCTTCTCTCTTATATTCTAACAGTATAATAAATATTATTCTAGAATAATCATCTACAATTGAGAATATGTACCTTTTATCACCATGTGATGCTGGATGTATAGGACCTACCAAATCTATGTGTTATATTTCCATTAACCCTTTTGTTTTCCTGTCTCCTAACCTGAAATGAGTCTTCTGATGAGTTTTTCCTTCAACACAGGATTGATTGGTATGGCTCTTTTAATCTGCTGTTTTTAATTCTTAGTATTACCCCATCTCTTTTCATTTCTTCCATTACTTTCATGTTCGCATGATCCAGCCTTTTATGCCACATTTTTATATTATTAGTTACATTTACACTTTCATCTTTTATAAGAAATTACCTTGCATAATATGGTCACCCTCACAGCAGGCATTCTTATATCATTCGGTTCCTTATATTCTATTGTGCCATACTTACTAAACTATACATTCTAATCATTGTCTGCAATTTTTGCCACTTATAACAAATTGATATTCAATTCTGGCACGCATAACACATTTTTTAACCTAATATTGTTTTTATTCAATGATTGTTTTATTATCATGTCACCAATTCCTTCATCGCGCAAATTGTTTCCATTTTTATCTGGTAGTGTAATCCTTCCTTGCTCTTTCTCCAAACTGTCAAATATACTTGTCATTTGTCATGTGGTTGGTCGCTCCTGAATCCAATAATATTTTATAGCGTTGGTAGAAATTAGCATTGACCATTTACAGATGTTTAGGTATAGGCAATTAAGCTTACCCTGAAGTCTGTAAGTTGGGGAAATTATTTTAAATTCTTTAGTCGTGCACAGCTGAATAGGCTACCTTACCATAAATGCTGCTAGCCATGTTCCGTTATGGTTCATTAGGCCACATGATCCGCGCGGGCCGGAAGGAAACTATCCTACTGTTTATTTACAACATACTGTTTCCTTCTGCCCCTGTAGAAGGACCGCACCAATTGCATAGCTGCTCGCATTTATTCGGAGCGTATACGGTTTTGTTCTGTCTGCTGTTTGCAAAATTGGTGAACTCGTGAGGGCTCCTTTCAGGTTGTCAAAAGCTTGCTGCTGTTGAGGAGTCCATTCACACGTGGCCTTGTTTTGAGTCAGTCGGATGAGCGGTTCTGCCACACTGACGAAATTGGAGACGAAATGCCTGTACCAGAAACATGTCTGTAAAAACGATATTAGTTGTTTCAAGTTCTTTGGTGGTTTCATATTTTGGATGGCCTTGGTTTTGTCCGAATCCGGTTGGATGCCTTTCGTTGCAAGAACGTGGCCTAAATATTTTATGTTTTAGCAGCAAAAACGACATTTTTCTCGGTTCATCCATAATCCGAATTTCCGAAGCATGTTGAACACAGCTTCCAAATTTTCTAGAAGTTCCTCAAATGTGGATGATAGAACTAGCAGATCGTCCAAGTAGACCAGCACGTACCGTGTTTTCAAAGAAGCTTTCAAACGGTCCATCAATCGCTGAAAGGTGGCGGGGGGTTTTTTACCCCAAACTACATACGTTTGAATCTGTAGAGTCCAAACGGGGTGGTAAATGCCGTTTTATCCTGATGATCCGGCCGTATTCCAATTTGCCAATACCCTGATTGTAGATCCAGGGTTGACATGTAGTTAGTTTTCTCGGCCACGTGGAACAGATCGTCAATCCGTGGATAAAAGTCGCTGACATTTAAGCGTCGGTAATCGACGCATACTCGAATCCCTCCGTTCTTCTTCGGCACCAATACTACGGGTGCAGCCCAGGGCGAATCACACTCCTCGATGATGTCGTGATCCATCATCTTTCTCAATTCTTGCTGCAGTATCTCCCTCTTCGTAAGTGGTAGGCGGTAGGGTGGCACTGCGATAGGTGGATGGTCTCCTGTATTTATCCGGTGAACTGCCTCGGCCGTTGGTGGTCCCACTCGCTTTTTAGTAAAATGCTTCGCACCATTTGTCTTTAATTTGCGCTTATATTCACTGCCTCATCCTCCCTTAACTCGCACATGTCGACGGCTACAATGTCGACTATGTGCGACTCACTGGTTCTCAGGCATGTTTCGAAGAGTTCTTCGATTTCTGACCACTCGTTCCCCGCCTTTCTTTTCGAGCCTTTCTGTGGGCTCACAGTTGGGCTCAACAGCGGTGAGGTGGTGTGAATTCTTCTGCAATTTTGTCCAGGTAACCTTGCAGTCTGGTTGCAGTCTTTCTGGCGGCAATTCCCGTGTCCGGATTTATGTTTTCCTTATTCTGCGTATTCAGCGTGATCTCGCTATCGAAATCGTATTCCTTGCCCGGATCTTCAATAAAATGTCAGCTTATTTGCGGCGCGTTGATGATGATGCCCGCATCTTCCAGGAAGTCCACACCCACGAGTGTCCGGTTGTTTTCACTGTTGGGTAGGACGATGAACTTGTTTGGATCGTTCTATCCTTGAGCTTTGTACTGATTTCGGTGACCAGTACGTCACGCATCCTGGGGTTGCCGTCCGCCAAAGTAACTTGCTTGTGTCTTTTTGTGAAATTCTGTCTCTTCGTTTGCAGCATGGAATAGAGGGTTTGACTGGCTACGCAGCACTTTGCTCCAGTATCTAAATAGGCCAAACCCTGTTCCTTAGCTACGTTGATGGTGACCATGGTTGCTCCGCAGTATTCAGCGAGCAGAAGGCGGCTTTCGTTGGAGCTGATGTTGTTGCCTTCACGTTGCGTTGTGGACATTTGCTTCTCACGAAGCCGATTTTCCTGCAACTGTAGCATTTGAGTGGCGGTCAAGTGTTCCCGTTAGCTGTCTCCATTCTAACTGATATGTGCTCGTTCCGCGTTTTCGGGGCCTGGAACTTCCGGTGCCGGCAATCAATGGTGGCGTGGCCGAATTTTCGACAAATTCCGCAACGTGGACGGTCCTTCCAGCGTTGGTCGGTTCCTTTCGTAGCAGGGTGGATCTCCGGAACGTGCTGTTGGGCCTCCTTTTCCAACGCTTTGATTTCACGGGCCCGATTCACGAGGTCCGTGAAAGATGCTACCGATTCGCGTGGAATCCGCTCCCGTAAATGAAACCGCAGCAACCCGTATAGCACGTCCAGCTGTAGGTTTTCTGGGCGGAGGTCTGGCAATTTAGTACGGAGTTCTTCTTGCTAATGAACAAGTCGGTGGGAATCTTGCTGTCCTGTACCGTCCGGATTTCAATGTATACTTGATACGCGGATCTTCGAGGAGCGAATGTAGCACGTATTAATTCGGTGACTTCTTTCCACGTCTTCATCGTCGGTTCCACACCCTTCTACTACGTCGTTGCGTGATCTTCTAACAGAAAGGGCAGACCACGGAGAGCGTTCTTTTCCGTGATATGCTCAATATCTTTAAAAATCGAGATCGTTGAAATAAATTGAACGACCGAATTGTAGTTTTGTTGATCGTCGAAGCGTGCCGTACATCTAGCGAAGCTCTCTTCCTCCGCCGTTTGGGAACGATGTATGGATTGCAGGATTTGGGATAGCTGGATGGATGTAAATGACATGTTTCCCTCCGATGGATCGCGGCTTAGAGCCTCACCATTGGGCGTCAGATTTGTAGCCATGGTTAATAATTACAAGGAATAGGTTAACACAGGAAATCTCAGGAAATCAAGGTTCTCTGGAAAATAGGAATTTTATTTCAAGGTTAAGGAAATTGTACAGGAAAAACAGGGTTACAAATTTTTTTTATTTTCCTACGCAACGCAAACACCATGACTACTTAAAACGTTTTTCTATTGCTCTCAATTCAACCAGGCGTCCAGGAGTAACTCTATTCTTTCCCGTTCAAATGGCGTCCAGGAATGTTCGCCGAACTCTCCTGCCGGAGTCACTAGGCTAGTCCGAAAGCGACCGATGGTCCTTACCTCGTCCTCTCTCCCAGACTGCCAAATAGGTCGGCTCCTATCGTAGGCCTCTATTTTTAACCGACTTCGAAAAAGGAGGAGGTTACTCAATTCGATCAGTATATTTTTTTTTTTTCTATGTATGTTCGCCGATTACGCCTAGCTGGATGGACCGATCGGAACGAAACCTTTTGTATCTGGTAGATTCTGACTCCCCATTGATACCATTATCAAAAAATTTTTCATTTTTTAATTGCAAAGTGTTGTTATTGCAAAAAAACCAGCAACTTTTGAAATAAACTTTTCTCGATTTCAGTGCGCTTTTAATGTTTTATCGCGGACATGATTCTGAACAATTTAGTTCATATACAAATTTCGCGGAAAGCTTCAGTTTTCAAGATATTAGCGAAAAATTGTTGTTAACTTTTGAAACCAACTTCGAACGATTTTTATGTCCTTCTAATACGTTATTAGTGGCATGATTCTGGACGAGTTTTTCCTTATGCATAATTGACGAAAAGCTTTAGTTTTCGTGATATTAGCGAAAAACTATTGTTATTAATATTAGTGGAACGCCTCGTGCTATGCACGGCAAAGACAAGAAAGGGCAATTACAATGCACTGTATCAAAACACTAACTAAGCTTTCCCGCTTTGACACGCGACTTATGCAGCAAGATGAGTTCACGTTGACGTTGGTGTATTATTCCCATTGCTTGGTACAGTCTCCGTATCGTTCTAAAAATGCATCAATTTGATTTGTTAGAAAATTTGTTGCGCAGGATCTGCTATTATTTTAC